CCGCCGCTCGGGGAGGAACAATGCGGGCAGCCCCGCCCCTCGGCGGCCCTGGACGACCCGCGCGCCGCCTCGCGGTGCCAGCCCGGGAGCCCGAGAGCGCGGGGCAGCTGCCCGGGGTGCCGGGAGCGGCGGGCCTGCGGACGAGGGAAGCCGCCCGGCTCGCGGGCCCCGGAACCCGCACGTGGGGCCGCCGCCGCGCGACTACGCCGAGCACCGCCTCCCCACGCGTGGGGCCCCAGCACGTGGCGCCTCCCTGCGCGTGTGCGCCCGCGGCGGGGCCCGAGCGCCACGTGCGGGCTAGAGAGCTCTGATAACTGGGACGTCCTGCTCTCCGAGGTCGCCCGCACGACTGCGGGAGCTCAACCCCGCTACTTTGCGTGCCCCGGGCAGGTGCAGCCGCCTGGCCGCGCGCAGCCACGTGTTCCCAGGTGCGGCCAAGAGGCTCCGCCCGGGCTCGTGGCGGGAGAGCCCAATCCACACTACACCGCTTTCAGTGTATCCAGCGCGGGAAACGCTCCCGGGCGCGAGAGTGCCGGGCTCGGCCCGGAAGGCAAAGGAGGAAACTTTCTACCGAGTCTAGACCGTAGGAACGCGACCTTTGCGCCCCTCTCATGCCACCTTCCGGGCTGCCCGCTTTGTAAAAGTTCCTGCGGGAACCCGGTGATGGGGCCTGCAACGACCTGGACCTAAACTCAAACCACCTAGAACCACCTGGAAAGCCTCCCGTCTCAAGAACTCTGGCCAGGAGCTATTTGCTGAGTTCCCCGGAAAGGGGAACTTGCCGGAGGGGAGCCAAACTTCAGGTTTCAGCCCAGGGTACATAGCAACAGCTTGGTGGTAGGCAACAGGAAAAAGGGCAAAGACCCGCACCTTGAGGGGGGAAGGCCAGCCCTGGGACCACACTTCTCAGCTGAGACAGTTGCGGTACCCGACGATGCCTAGGCAGGCCTTTGCCACCTGACCCCGGCCCGGTGATAATTTCAGGCCACGATCCTGTCGTCGTTAAAGCAATCTATGCGATTTACTTAAGTTAATCCTAACAGTAACGTATTTTCTGGATGAGCCTGGCGGTACAGGTAATAGGGTAAACGTGTAGAGCTTAGGGTAGCACCCGACAAGTATACAGCAGGCGCTGAATAGCTGCCGGTTGGCTGGCTTGTTAGTAATTCTGAAAGTTGGCTTTGTCAAGTGTTGGGGCTGCGACATCTGCTGGTGATGTGTGGTATTACAGTCCAGTTCTTGTGGCCGTAGTGGGGCAAGGGAGGGTGTGAGACTGGCCTCAGGACCTGGGAAGTTAGGGGTTCCTGGAGGGAAGGATGGAAGTCTGGGTGGTACAAAAGACAGTTCCTGCGGAGGAACTAAAATCCTGAGAATACGTGGTTTTCTTTTGCAGCAGAAATTCATTAGAAGAATCCCTTAGTTGCAGTTCAAAAGGGTTATGATCACATTGATCGTGTTCAGTTCCATCTTCACTTAGAAGGCCCCTGCTCTGAAAAGTTAAGTGATGGGGCGGTGCCTGTGGCTCAAAGGAGTAGGGTGCCGGCCCCATATACCAGAGGTGGCCAAAAACTGCAAAAAAAAAAGTTAAGGGATGCGGATGTGGCCAGAGCTTTTTTCACACCCAATCTAATCTCTTTTACAAAGACAAGGAGGAGGGATCTTTAATTTATTTAATAAGCTTACTATCTCACACTAAGAAATAAATTGGAGGCTTGGCGCCTGTAGTTCACTGGTTAGGGCACCAGCCACGTGCACCGGGGTTGGCAGTTCTAAACCAGCCCTGGTTGGCTAAACAACAATGACAACAACAACAAAAAAGCCAGGCGTTGTGGCAGGTACCTGTAGTCCCGGCTACTTGGGAGGCTGAGGTAAGAGAATCACTTAAGCCCAAGAGTTTGAGGTTGCTGTGAGCTGTGATGCTACAGCACTCTACTGAGGGTGACATAATGAGACTCTGTGTCAAAAAAAAAAAAAATACATAGGATAAATGCTTTCTGAACGTTGTGGGACTTTTCCCTTTGTGATGAGAGAATTTTCCCCTGGGGATATTGACAGTCCCTGGGCCCAGCCACATCAGGAATTTCTGTTACAGGGACAGTTAGCTTCTGCACTGACTCATGGTCACTGATGTATCTGCCATCATTCCATGACTAAACCACAGGGATTGAAAGGCTCTATCTCAGCTCCCTTAGGAGACGCAGCAGGTAAGCTGGAGAACACCTAGGGTACAGGGTCAGAAGGCTTCAAAGGACTGGGTGGCCTGGACACATTACTAACTGTAAGTCCCTTAATCTGTAAAAGATGAGTAAAAATGTTTTCTTGTATATGACTTGAAAAGATAATTTTTTTTTCGAGACAGTCTTATTATGTCACCCTCGGTAGAGTGCTGTGGTATCACAGCTCACAGCAACCTCCAACTCCTGGGCTTAAGTGATTCTCTTGCCTGCGCAGTAACCACTGTGCTATGAGTGCCTAGCCTTTTTTTTTTTTTTTTTTTTTTGAGACAGTCTCACTATATCGCCGTTGGTAGAGTGTGGCAACATCACACAGCAACCTCAAACTCTTGGGCTTAAGCAGTTCTCTTGCCTCAGCCTCCCCAGTAACTGGGACTACAGGTGCCTGCCACAGCACCAGGCTATTTTTTTGTTGTAGTTCTCATTGTTTGGCAGGCCCTGGCCAGGTTCAAACCAGTCATCTCTAGTGTATGTGGCTGTCACCCTAAGCACTGAGCTATGGACGCCAAGCCAACAAGATAATTTTGAAGTTAAAGATGATGCATGTAAAAGGGTTGTGGAGGGTGGCACCTGTGGCTCAGTGGGTAGGGCACCAGCCCCATACACTGAGGGTACAGGTTCAAATCCAGCCCCAGCCAAACTGCAATAAAAAATAGCCAGATATTGTGGTGGGCGCCTATAGTCCCAGCTACTTGGAGGCTGAGGCAGGAGAATTGCCTAAGCCCAAGAGCTGGAAGTTGCTGTGAGCTGTGACACCTCAGCACTCTACTGAAGGTGATAAAGTGAGACTCTGTCTCTGAAAAAAAAAAGGTTGTGGAAACCATAAAACTTTATTTTTATTTTTATTTTTATTTTTTTTGAGATGGAGCCTCAAGCTATCCCCCTGGGTAGAGTGCCATGGCATCACAGTTCACAGCAACCTCCAACTCCTGGGCTCAAGCGAGTCTCCTGCTTCAGCCTCCCAAGCAGCTGGGACCATAGGCGCCTGCCACAACGCCCGGCCATTTTTTGGTTGCAGCCATCATTGTTGTTTGGCAGGCCCGGGCTGGGGATTCAAACCCGCCACCTTAGGTATATCTGGCTGGCGCCTTAGCCACTTGAGCCACAGGCGCCGAGCCGAAACCATAAAACTTTATAAAGATCGAAAACCATTGTCGCTGCTTCATCTTCTGCCCCATTCTTCTATCACTGCTTTAATAGTTATTTCCCTACATCTTTATCCAGCTAGACCAGGCATCCTCCAACTACAGCCCGTGGGCCACATGCAGCCCGCCTAGGACATTTATCTGGCCTGCTGGGTGTTTTGGCCACCACTGCCTGTCCTGCTTAGCATCTGACTCATCCCGGGGCCCGCAGTCCGACCCTCCAACGGTCTTAGGACAGTGAACTGGCCCCCTGTTTAAAAACTCTACCCCTGAGCTAGACCATCCACAGACCATCCACTTACTCCTAAGCAGAATTCCCCTCATCCACCTTCCATCCTTCTAGAACACCCCATGGTTTTCAATCCATCTAAGCCTTAACTTTTTTTTTTAATTTTTCTTGTTCATCTCTGGATATAAATTTATATATTGCTTTATACCTTGTTTCCTGGACAGAAGCAGTATTTTAATTGTGTTCTTCATTCTGATAAAGGAATTTCTTTCCCCGCCACCCCAAAAATACTGACTCAGTACTGTTAGCTAATGGCATTTCTACATTACGCAACGCTGGGCTATTTTGTTGTTGTTGTTGCAGTGTAGTCTTTTTAGCTGGCCTGGGCCAGTTTCGAACTCACCAGCCTTGGTGTATGTGGCCAGTGCCCTACCCACTGAGCTACGGGTACTGCCCAGGACAGAGCATTTTTAGGACCTAATGCAGGCTTTGAACTGAGATCTTAACTTGAATTCTCAGAGCACCTTTTCATGATTAAATGTGAGGACCTAAGTGAACCCCACAATAAATGAAAGTGCCTGTGGCCCTACCATTTCACCAACAGAGGGTGTTATCAAGATTTTAGATCTTTGCAGTCTGATGAAAAATGAGGGCTCAGGGCGGCGCCTGAGGCTCAGTGGGTAGGGTAGCAGCCCCATATACCCAGGGTGGTAGGTTC